GAGGTGATGGAAGTGATGGAGGTGATGGAGGTGATGGAGGTGATGGAGGTGATGGAGGTGATGGAGGTGATGGAGGTGATGGAGGTGATGGAGGTGATGGAGGTGATGGAGGTGATGGAGGTGATGGAGGTGATGGAGGTGATGGAGGTAGTGGTGGCGGCAGCGGCGGCGGTGGAGGTGATGGGGACAATTGGGACGATGGAGGGGGTGGGGAAGAGGAAGGGGAAGAGGAGGAGGAGGAGGAAGAGGAGGAGGAGGAGGAGGAGGAGGAGGAAGTAGAAGTAGAAGTGGAGGAGGAAGTGGAGGAGGCAGGAGAGACAGAGGAGGAGGATACAGAGGAGGAGCTGGCGGAAGAGGTGGAAGAGGTGGAAGAGGAGGTGGAGGAGGCAGAGGTGGATGAGGTGGATGAGGTGGATGAGGAGGATAATGTTCCAATCGGGACATTTATCCCTGCCAAGAATCTTCCGATCAAGATTCCTCTCGTCAAGGGCGCTCCCATCAAGATTCCTCCAGTCAAGGGCGCTCCAGTCAAGGGCGCTCCCACCAAGATTCCTCTAGTCAGGGGCGCTCCCGTCAAGGGCGCTCCCACCAAGATTCCTCTAGTCAAGGGCGCTCCAGTCAAGGGCGCTCCCACCAAGATTCCTCTAGTCAAGGGCGCTCCCACCAAGATTCCTCTAGTCAAGGGTGCTCTAGTCAAGGGCGCTCCCATCAAGGGCGTTCCCGCTAAGGGCGCTCCCGTCAAGAGTTCTCGCATCAAGACACCTCGCTCCAAATTCCCGGCTGCCAAATACCCCCCCAAGAGCTCTCCGCCCGTCATATCACGACTTGAGCCACGGCCTCCACTAAGAAAAATGGGACCCCCACTCTTCCCGCACCCGTATGCTAAGAAAACTCCTACCAAGGATTCCCCCGCCAAAATCCCCCACGTCAAAAGCCTTCCTATCAAGTTCCCTTCTGTCAAGGTCCCCGCTGCCAAGGTCCCTTCTGTCAAGGGCCCCACAACCAAGGCCCTTCCCGTCAAGGTTCCTCCCGTCAAGGTCCTTCCCGTCAAGGTCCCTCTCATCAAGTTCAAGCTCGCCCCCACCCAGGCCCCCACCGAAATTATCACACCCCCACCACCCAAGGGCGCCTGGGACTGGGTCTGGGAATGGGTTATAGTAATGATAACCGGCAAAAAAACCAAGAAAAAGGTTAAGAAGGAGAAGAAGAAGAAGCAGAAGGATAAGAAGGGGAAGAAGGACAAGAAGGACAAGAAGGATAAGAGGGATAAGAGGGATAAGAGAGACAAGAAGGATAAGAAGGAACCACCAGGCCCTCCTCCTGGAGGTGGCGGCGCGGCAGTGGGCCCCTCTGGGGAGAAGGGAAGAACTCATGGGATGACACTACGCCCCGCAACGTTGCCCAAGGGTGGATATAAGCTGCGGTGGCCGAGATGGGTTGACCGATATGGGAGGGTGATACAAAGAGCCCTGATCACCTTCGCCACGTGGATATTATTCGACTTGTTCCGCCGGAAAGCGGAAGAGGGTGAAGAGGGGGTGGAGAAGGGTGAGTACGAGTATCAATATGAGGATGGGTACGAGGAGCCCTGGGGCGAAGAAGAAGTACAGGAATGGGACGGCGAATTCAAAACCGGGGAATTCGGCGAAGGCTGGGACGAGGAAGACGTTCGAGGATACGATTTCTTCGCCACGACTAGAGACGACTTTTCGTACCTGCCTAGGCGGAGCCAGAGGCGTTCGTTCATCCCCCCTCCAACATCTCCTCCTGTGAGCACCCTTGAATTCTTCACCTCGGCAAGGGCGAGAGGTCATGCATACCCACCGTCTGCCAGTCCCAGACGCCCACCTCTTGTCCATTATCCCGTGCCTCCTCCAATCACTATTCCAATCACCATTCCAATCACCGCTACCACCCAGTCCCCGCGAGGTTCGGATACCTTCTCGGAAACGCCGGTGTCGGGCGCTCCCGCCTCTATGCTCCCGATGCTACCAATCCTCCCATCACCACGCGTGTCCGAGACCCCCCCTCCAAAGATACAGCCAGAGAAGCAGAAATCAGAGCCAAAGCCGACGTCCGAAGTCGTCAGAAGCAGACACGGGGAGCTAGCAGCTGAGGAAAAACCAACAGTACCCGCATCGCAGAAATTCGAGCCACAGTGGCTCAACTTCTGGCGGGTTCTTGTGATTGTGCTGGTGGTATTGGTATTCTGGATCGTAGGGGGGCAGGAGGAACGCTTTGGCACCACGAAAGAAGCGGAATGGGGTAGCGGGATTAGAAGGAACATGGAGAGGGTTCGGTATGATGAGCATCGGATTGTGTGATTCCGTCGGTTTAGTCCCCTTTTTCGATTACTCCCATGATATCCTTTTTCTTCTTCTTTTCTCCCCCCCCCCCGCCTCTCTCTCCACTTTGTCTGTATCAATTACGAGCGTGATGCGCTGGAATTTACCAAAGTTATTCCCTTCCCCTCTCAACTATCGTAGTGAAGCGTAGGGTAAGGTATGGTAGAGTAGGGTTGCAGCCGGGTGATAGCCTGTGATTGTTAGTGACGAGCATCGTAAGATATGATACTAACAATGAAGAGTATAGATGAAAACCCAATGTATGATACTAGTATTATACCAGTAAAAAAAAAAAACCCCACCAATTTCCATTCTAGGGAAAAAAAATCCCCCCTTGAAAGAACACCTCGATACAGGCAGGATAACTAGACCTTCTCGAGACTTTCCGAAGGCAGGGTGCGTAAATTATGGTAAGGCTTATCCGCCGCATAGCTCAAATGTCTCGGCATCCATCTTACTTGTACGGTTTCGCGGGTTAGTGTACAATTAGTTTTGAGTAATCGTGATGAGTATTGCTATTTCCGCCCTTGGTAAAAGAGTTCTTCTCACATCTTGACTCCTAGTCTGGCAAATTTCTGCACTGTGTAGTGCTGTGCGCGGGGGATGGTTTGGGTTGGGATTGGACAAGGGTGTTGTTCGTTCCGCGCTTTGCGGTTTTCTGGCTTTGGCGGGAATGATGGTTCCAAATCCGTGACTGGATCACACCACCCATAACCATCGCCAAGTGCTAGTGACGGCAGTTTCGAAATTTAATAGTGGAAGGGCCATACATAGACTCTCATCCCGCAACGTTATATAAATTCATGATTCCCTTCCACTCTATACATTTTAACTATCTACAATGAATAAAGCCCCCCCCCCCCCAACGAAAAAAAAAAAGAAGAAGGTAGATATAAAAATAAAATAGATATCATGGAGATCAACTGAATTCCCATCCTAAACCGAGCCGAGCCCGGGTTCCAGGGAACAAAAAAAAAAACCCCCCGCCGTAAACGCCCAATGCAATATTCACAGTGAAGCAAAACAAAACGGAAAGAGAGGAAAAGAGAGAATCAAAGCTCACAAGCCTTCAAGCAAAAAATCACGTCCCCTTCAAGCGCACTATTCCTCCCCGCAATGTACATAGTCTTGCGCCATTCCCCCTCTCGCTCAATCTCGCCTTCACCCTCGACCTCACCCACGTCCCGGAGGTAAATCGCGTTGTTGAGGATGTCCTCGATCTGGCCCTGTAACTTCTCAACCTCTCTACCAGCCAGGATAGTCTCCTCGTCGTCTTCACCGGAAGCAGTGGACCCGCCATCGGAAATCGGATGGAGGTCGTCGCAATCGAACCTGAACGCGTCGCCGACGCTGCTAGCAGTGGAGTACATGCTCATCGGGACGGGCTTTCTCTTGGGGAAGCACACGCCCGAGTTGTGCACCTTAAAGGGGCTCAGGAAGTCCGGGGACGGGGTGTGTTCCGCCCCGAGTGATGGTTGGGGACCAGCGAAATGCTGGCGGCCAGTGATGGGGGATTCCTCGTCCGGGAGGATGACGGCGGGGTCGGTGCTGGGAGCCTCGGTCGTGGAATCCTTCTTTGGCGACGGGGGGGGCGAAGGGAAGGTGGTGGTGGAAGTGTTCGGGGTCCTCGGGGAGGGTGTGGTCACGGTCGACGGGGACTCGCATGGGTAGCAGAAGTTTTCGAACCATTCCACCAGCTCGTCGGCGTAGCCGAGGTCGACGTCAAAATTGGCTTTCGCGCTAGTATTACCGGGGGCCGGACTGGTCGGAGGGCTGGAGAGAGTGGAGAGTTTTGGGAGCGCAGATGGCACACCTGAGAAGAGTGGCTTGGTAGGAGTTGGAGCTGGAACAGGGGGCAGCGGTAGCTTGGAGTACACTTCTTGGCTTTCACGGGAAGGTGGGGGACTCCGCGGGCTGCGTAGCCTCGGAGACCGACTTCTAGCGGGCGAGCGTGATTGCGGTGGGGTAGAAGGAATGGTGCCAGGGAGTTCAACCAGAGGGATAACCCGAGGAGAGACATCCCCAGGTCGGGGCTTGGGCGGAGGTGTGGGTGGCAATTCGTCGGTCTGTGGCTGAGGAGTCGGGTGGGGCGAACTAGTTGGAGGTGGCGACGGCGAAGGAGTATTCCGTCTCGGGACAATCCTGGTCGCTAATCGGCTAACAAAGTCACGATCACCACTGTCGGAATTACTCCGATCCCGGGATGTCGGAAGCTTATTATAGATGCTGTACACCGTATCCAAAACATCCGAAGTCTTTCTCATTCTCCCCGGAGAAGATCTTGGCTTAGGCATCGGCGGAGAAACCGGCGGAGGTGGAAGTCCAGTTTTCCCTGCTACGCCAGTGGGAGTAAGTGGAGGTGGCACAATCTTCAAGTCAGAGTTGTTCCTCCTAGTCAACGAGCCCGATCTTCCGAGCAAAGTAGTTGATGGTAGAGGAGGAAGCAATGGTGACTCGATATGTGTCAATGGCCTAGGGTCAGGACTTGGCTGGGGTGAGTTGGTGGGAGAAGGAGCAACCCAAGGGATATCGTTCGGTCCTTGAGGAAGAGTCGGAGGAGCGGCACCAGGAACCGACCTTGCACCCCAATTATTATCTGGGGGGTTGGCCTTTGGTCGCGAGCGGTTGTGAGCAGAGGGGGCCTCGACAGGAGAACTTGATGTCGAGGAAGACGACTTATGTGATAACGTCGGGCTTCCCCTGTGCACTGGCCGCAGCTCAGTTCTCGTCACGACCTTTCCCGGGGCGGCGTAATATGTAGCACTCGTAGCGATCGCTGGGGCCAGACCTCTTCCGCCCGGTGGCGGAGCAATGAACCATGGCTTTGACTTTGATGATTTCATGTACTTCCTTGGGGGCGGAGCAGTGAAGGGAGCAGTGAGAGCGGGAGCGGTATTATGCTGCTGCTGGTTCCCGTGACCACGTTTCTCGACCAGCAAACTCCGCATTTGGCGCTCGAGGTCGAACGGCCGAGAGTTCATGGAGGAAGCATTGACATTCGGAAGGGACGAGGACATTGGAATGACAGGAGAGGTATTCGACTTGGTGTGTTGTGTTGGAGGAGAACCCCGGAGGGCCTGGGTATTGACAAACTTGATACTCGCCATGACTTGTCTCCTCCCGGTCGCTCTTTTTTCCTCCAAATCTCGATCTCAGTAGCTTTTCTTCTTCTTCCCCTTCACAACAACAGGTTAAGATTCCTCGGCCGGTGCAGTAGTTGGAGAGTTTGGTGGTGTGGTGGTGGTGGTGGTGGTGGTGGTGGTGGTGGTGGTAGGAGGAGACTCGTGGGTATCGTTCAGGAAAGTGGGTGGAGGGGAGAACAGAGCGACGTTCTACGCCGAAGGACACAGTCCGAATGATCTTGGAGACGTTGAGGTCACGGTCGCACGTTGTGGAAATTGAAGGACGGATGCTGTCATGCGAAAGGTGCGTGAGGCAAGAGAACAGGAGACGTACGTCGTCTCAGGCGAGGCAGGAAGAGGGAAGAAGGGGATGGGAGGAGGGAGGGAGGGGGTTCAAGAAGTAGGAAGGTAATGCAGCCAAGCACAGACGCTACCCGTTCCAAGTGGAAAGCAGGCAGGTGAGGGGGGGGGGGTAGGGGTAGGGACTGGAAGGTGGAGGGGAGTCATGATGTACGGGCAGGCAGATTTGTTTGATGGGGAGGTGAGGCAGGAGGGTAGGTCACGGACAAGGGATGTTTAGGCAGCGGAAGGGCAGCGCGAGAGGGATGGGATGTACCGTGCTGTGCTGTACTAAGCGCCGGTGGGCGGGATCACGGTGGAGTGCACCGTATCATATCATACCCAGAATCGCCCTCTGGGAGGGGAAAGGCTTGTTGCCACGAATAGAAGAGAGAGGCATGCTCCCGATCCCGCCGTGCATTTTCGCTAGCCAAGGTTAGCAGCATATCGAACCGGTGATCCGGTACCGTACGCTATCTATAATACCGGTACGATACCGTACTCGTACTGGTACACGTACCGGTGCTTCCAGTCAGGAAGCGAGGGGGAGGGAGCGAGAGGGTCCAGGTGCTGGAAAGTACTCTGCGCCGCTGTACTCGTACTGTACTGTACGGTACTGCACTGTACCGTACCGGTACCGTGCTGTGCTCGTCCCGGCACGATGCGCTATCACAGATGGCCATCCACCCTTCGAACTCTGAGACCCGACCCCATCTCTCCGTCCCACGGCCTCACCGCGCACTTGCACACGCGTACCGCATATCACGGGCTATCGTGGGAGGAATTCAAATGCCAAGGGCCTCTCCGAGATCATATCATCATGAATCACATCTCACTCGCCGATCCCTATGCAAACCATTCACTCGACATTTCCCCCCCACCGTGCCCCAAAAAGGTCTGAAACGTCTCCCTCACAAAATGTCCGAACCCGAACACAAGCCCCCTGCAGGAAGGGTTCGTACAAGTGCTGTACCGTACTAGTACTGATTCGAGTAGCGTTGTGGGAGGGAGAACGGTACTCGAGTACAATACCTGCGCTAGCACTGTACTTGTATCGGTAGTGTAGCTACGGGTACTTGTGGCGCAGCTTCTTCTTCTTTTCTTAGACGAAACTAACCACGTCCGATAATAAGCGCCCGCCCATCTATCCATCGAGGGAAGAGCCTCCTCCAGAGTTCGGACAGGCCATCTCCCAGCCCATGCACCCTCATCCATCAGAAAAAGGAAAAGGAAAAGGGAAGAGAGAGAAGAAGGCTTTTTCTTTCCTCAACATCGTCAAACAGATTACCAAACACCACAACCGCCTTCAAACAGAACAGAAAATGGCCGCTCCCTCCGGTCCTCGAAGACCGAAATCCTCTCGGAGCAATTTTAAGGTAGTATTATCGTGATTACAGCCCGGTCCGTCCGCGCCGTGGTGATCATCGACAAAGCCACATCGTCGGTAGAGCACACGGACCAGGATCAAAGTCAGAGCGAGCATAAGGGGAAGAGAAAAAGAAAGCGGGAAAAGCAAGAAATAAAATAAAAAAAGCAAAAAAGAACCACCGACACCACGGAGACTAAAATCCACGCGATTCTCTCAATTCCTCCTTCTCTTTCTCTCCCTCTCCGAGCCACATTGGTGCAGTGGGCCAAGTTGGTTTAGGTAAGGTTAGCTAAGCCGGGCGCCCCGGTGCGTAGCGGTGGGGAGGGAAGCACGCAGGGCCAAATATGTACTCGAGCAGTTGCACGCATGCAAGGTACCACGATGAAGGGGAGTGAAATGATTAAAATAGATAAAGATGCGGGGGAGCACACGGACAGACAGACGCGGGAGGGGGAGGGTCAAGGGGGTGTCGCGCCGCATCGCAGGGTAAATTGGGTAAATTGGGTATCGGTGGGTATCGGTGGGTGAGATGGGGTGGTGTGCAGAGGTTTGGAAAGATTTATGAAAGGGTGCAGGGTGCGATTGAGGCTCATTACGAGCGAAACCTTATCCCGTCATGGTGATACGAGGCATGGGTGAGTGTGTGGGTGAGATTGCTGAACGAGATGGATGGGCTGGTGAGCGGATACTGTACGATAGCACGGGGAGCGTACCGGTACAGCACGGTACCGCTACTTGTGCCAGTACATTGAGAAGCGATGAACGCTATCACGGGGGGCGAAATGAAGGACTTAGCCTTCGTATACAAGTGGAGGGCCAAGAGATACTCGTACTGAGTGGCCAGGTCAAGCACGTGGTAAATCGCTAACGGGGAGCAACTTTGCTCTTGCACTATCCTGTACCGTATCACCCACGACTCAGCGCGATGATACGGCTCCCCCCTTCCGGTCCCTGAAGCTTAGCCCAGCTTGGTTGCTTACCAAGTCTAGCGATACACAAACGCACACCGCGACCGAGCATTGCACGATACCTTGCGGTGGGGGTAACAGTACAGTACCGTACGCGCTCAAGTTTCACCTCACTCATCATTTGTCAGACGGACGGGAGGGAGGAATAAATAGAGATGAGGAATACCCGCACCGTATCTACAGTACTACCGGTAGTCAAAATCCACCATCCGGGATCGGCCCCCGGATCCCCCCGATCAGAGACGAAACGCCCCGAGAAGGATCAGTGTTACTCAGACATGTCAAATTGCAGCTGTGGGAAGGCAGTGGCTTAGTTTTGGAGAAGGGTACGGGAGTGTGCGGTGGAATACTGAGAACGGATAAGGGTGGGATTCTATGATTACTCGTACACACCGGTAATTATGTCTTTCCCCTGCCATCACGGAAGCGTGCGGAGGAATGCGGACATGTGTGGAATCAAGGTTGATGGATGCGGTGATCTGGGAAAGGATCTCATTGCTTTGTTGACGCTTTACTCATGCACCTGTTATCGTCATCGGTTGGAAAGAAGCGCGAACGAAGTTGCTATTCATAAATTGGATCAAATCTACCTTTATCATCCTTTCCAGAAAAGGGTTCCGGACGAGTCTACCGTACTCAATTGACTATCCACCGCTGCGCTATCTATCGATCGTATCCTAAGTGGCTAGTACTATACCGGTACAGTACTCGTCGTACAAGTGTAGCTTGGGGAGGCTGAGCTCCCTGCATCTTGTTAACTGGTAGACTACCGTATTCGTGATTTTGTTAATCCACCTCGCCAAGTCTATCGTATTGTGGTTTAGACCCTGACCTCCGATATAGCTGGATTTAGCGAGTGAATACGCCTAGCGGGGCCCGTTATTGTGCGATACGATGACACCCGAGCCTGGCGGTTTAATAGGTATCGTATCGCATCGGCGCTTCCCCTCCCACCTTTTGGGAAGGAGAAAGGTTCGGACCACGCTTCCGGGAGATTGAACGGTCGTGGATAGCAGCTTAGACGGGAGAAAGGGGGGGGGGGGGTACAGAGTGCCGTGTAGGTGGCGGTGCCTGGTGACTGAACACAGCTCAGAGGAGAGAAAGAGAGAAGGGGAAAGAGCGACTGTTCGCTTGGAGGTAATATATTCTACCGCTTCACTTCTCATATAATACTGGACAAGCTGGTGGGTCGAACTTGCTACGGGGCGAGAATGTATTCAGTGCAGAGCAAGTATTATGGATGAGTAAACCCTGTGCGAATACCGCAATTCCATCAGTATACCCAAGGCCATGCTCGGAGGTTCTAACTCTTCCGCTGCTGGTGGTATAACGAGCGAACATTTCACTATCGGCGAAGCGATTCGCTAGCACTTCTGAACACGAGCTGTGCATTGCGCTCGCCCATCCGCTCCCGGGCAGGCTCAGCCGCTGGGGAAATTGACTTTTATCATACGAGCTCTAGAGAGAGGGAACGGAAATTATATTCTTATCCACCTCGCCGTGATCGCTATCCGCTTTGCATTCTTTCGCCGTCGCACATTTCCTCGTACTCGAGCGGCTATGTTGCACCATGCAGTGCGGAGTTCATGTGCTGTGCAGTACAGTGGAGTAACGGATATTTCGTGAATTACCGGTTTTGTGCTTCTGCTGGTACTGTACGGCAGTGCTCGCACTTGAACGGTGCTACGGGTACGCTTGGCGGTACAGTACCGGTACTGTACTGTATCTGGGTCCTGTATTTACAAGTACTCTTCTCATGTGGCGTTCTGTGCTGCCCCTCGACCCTGACGGGGAATTAAGATTAGAGTGTGAAGGGGTGTCATACGGTGCCTCGTACAATCCTTGCATTGGATTTGGCATTCCTCTCTGATGAAGTTACGCATTAAATCGCGGACATGGTATTGAAGATGAACACTTGGGCCGGGGCCCATGGGCCATGGGCATTTCCCGCGGTCCCCCATACTCGCTGGTTCATTTGCTACGCTGACAGTCTGGACCCCTAACCCTCCCATACCACAAGGGAAAAAACAACAACGTGAACTCTTAAGGAAAAAGAAAAGAAAACTCACCCTTTCAATTACCTCCCCATGTCCCAAATCTACTCTTAATAAGCAATTATTTTGCAGTGGTTTTCGCTTTCTTTCATTGCGGAGAGTCAGAATCGAGTGATCGATCATGAGTAGTGTCCGGGAAAGATGTGAGATAATTGATTATCATCGACTATCCCGGATCATGCTCGAAGATTTACTCGTATACACTATCACATGATTACCAAGATATCTGTTGTGACATCACGATGTAATAGCCATTGCCATGCTTTGTCACTGGTAGTTAGTTTCTCTTCAGCCTTTTTCTCATTACTTTCTTTTCTGTTCCTCTTGGGTACATAGACAATCTCACAAGAAACTCTGCCCATATTGCAACAGGTTATAAGCCCGGTGTGATTCTGCTTCTACCTCATCTATTCTTACAAGTGCATCTATCTTCTCTCTATCTCTATAATATATTACTTGCCTATAGCCAATATTCTTTCTGCTATATCTCCTATTCAAGTTTCCAGCAATCTGTCATGTTCAAATCTCTAGGTATCTCGAGCTCTGTGAGCAGTAGTGAAAACTCTACTACATCCTTTAAGTCAACATAAAGAAGTATTGAGAAACTTACTCACAAAAACTATAAGACATGAAAGTCAACTCTAGGATTAGTTTTAGAAACAATTAAGGCCTTAGAAGTAGTTTCCAGTATCAAGGTCCTACAGGTCCTTCAAGATAAGCCAATACCAGCTGCCATAAAGTTAGCAAAAGACTTTAAGGAATAATCTGCAAAGGCTGCCCTCTACATTTACCTCTCTTGCTCTGCTGAGATCAGGATCTATATGGAGGGAGTCTGAGATCCTAAAGTGACGTAGAATAAGCTTTGGAAGTCTCTAGACTCTACTGCATCCTATATTGGCTGTGCAGCTATTCTCAGAAAGTTTCAGACATCAAGGCCAACTGAGAAGGAGTTTATTGTCCAGTATCTTGTCCAAATTCAGGCCTATTACATTCAGTTCTTTGGATCAGCTGAAGCAATAACTGACAAGATGTTTAAGACTCATATCTATATAACTATATTGAATGAATTCGCTACTACAGTTGAAGTTCTCCAATGCTCAACAGTTGAAATAACTGTTGAACAGATAGTTACTACTCTGCATGACAGTGAAGAAACACGCCATGCAGTTTAGAAGGCTTCTAGTACATAAGTTGAAAGCTCTAATACAGCTCTGACTATAATAGGGGCTCTCTCAGGTACATGGATCCTGAGGATATAACAGCATCAAAACTTTGAATCTCTCAAACACAGTTCTTGCAAAGTGTAAAGAATAAAAGTAAAACAGTAAAACTTAATATGGTTAAGCTCAGGCATATCTCAATTAAAGTCTCTCAAGAGGATATTGATTGTGTTAAGGTAGGAGAGTTCTCGTATAATCTTTAAGTAGTCAGACTTATACTAAAAACTTCTCCATCAGGTTACCATGATCAACATGAGTGTGTCCTTCACTGTAAGGATTGTCCAGCACTATTACCATGTTCCCGAAGGGCATAAGGTATTAGTGCACTCTAGCAGTAATTTCCCTTATGCATATCAGTCCTGTAAGGTGTTTACTAATATAGCTGCTAGTGCTAGAGTGAAAACCTCTGTGCATTGGGGTCTCATTAGTGGCTAACTATTGAGACACCTAGGAAAGCTAACTAAATAACTCTTTTCCCATGTGCAATGATCTATGCAAGTACCTGTAGATATTAGCTATCTTCCAGTTAAGTTCTATCTATCTTGATTATAAGCTTAGAATGTCTACAATGGTCCTGCAAAGAGCTGTGGTGGTGGCAGGACCTGTGGGTACTATCTATAGTCCCTTATCCCTAGTACACCACTCACCATAATAAGTATCATGCTATTAGGGTCCACAAACAACCCATAAAGAGCCTATGGCAAAGGAGCACATATAGGCTTAATTGGCATAAAGCTCTTCCAGATGTGTCTGGCACTACCTGGGACTACTCTGGGGACCCTTCTAGATAGCTTACACTAACTCTGTCACCTTTGGTTCATTTTACTCTGTTCCTTTTGGAGAAGGTACCTGACCTTTTCATCTTGGTCTTCTTATA